AAGATTGTGGGGAGATTGGAACTCTTATACACTGTTGTTGAGAACGTAAAATGGTATAACCACTATAGAAAACAGTATGTTGCTGCTTAAGAAGTTAGAAATGCCCTGTCATTGTCACATGCTGTCCAGTCATTTACAACTCATAGCAACCCTGTGTAGGGTTTCTGAGTTGCAACTGGTGAGTTTGAACCACCGCCATTGTGGTTTGCAGTACATTGCTTATCCAACAGTGCCACACTAGGATTCCGTGTCATCCAGCAATACCACTCTAAGTATAGGTACTAGAGAAATAAAGGCTATGACATAAATAGACAGACATATTCATGCTTATTGCAACATTATTCACAATAGCAAGAAGATGGTAACATTCTTATCACCCATCAACAGATGAATAAATTTAAAAAAAACTGGTATGTACGCACAGTGGAATACATTATAATGATAAAGAATAACAAGAGATTCACAAAATATCTCACAACATGAATGAATTTGAAGGACACAATTGTTAGGTGGCCATTGAGTGGGTTCCAACTCATAACAAACAACCGTATGCACAACAGAACAAAACATTGCCCAGTTGTACGCTATCCTTACAGTTGTTATGTTTGAACCCATTGTTGATGCCACTGTGTCAATCCATCTTGTTGGGAGTCTTCCTCTTTTTCATTAACCCTGCACTTTACCAAGCATGATGTCTTCTCCAGAGACTGGTCCCTCTTAAGAACATGTTCAAAATACAAGATTACAAAGATTCATCATCCTGGCTTCTAAGGAGCATTTTGGCTGTGACTCTACCAAGATAGATTTGTTTGTTCTTCTGGCAGTCCATGGTACTTTTAATACTCTTCTCCAAAACCATGATTCAGACGCATCTATTCTACCATTGATTGTCCTTATTCATTATCCAACTTTCTCATGCATATGAGGCTATTGAAATTACCATGGCTTGGATCAGACACACCTTACTTCTGAGACTGACATCTTTGCACTTGAACAGTTTAAAGAGGTCTTATGCAGCAGATTTGCCTAATGCAATACATCATTTGATTTTTTCGACTGCTGCTTCAGGAACATTGATTGTGGATCCAAGCAAAATGAAGTCTGCCAATTTCCGTCTGTTCCCAATTTATCATGATGCTATTTATTGGTCCAGTGCTGGGGATTTTTGTTTTCTTTGCACTGAGGTGCAATCCATACTGAAGGCTAAAGTCTTTGATCTTCATCAATAAGTATTTCAAGTCCTGTTCACCTCTATCAAGCAAACTTGTATTATCTGCAGGTAGTTAATGAGTCTTCCTCCCATCCTGATGCCATGTTCTTCTTCATACAATCCAGCTTTTCCATTATTTACTCAGCATACAAATTGAGTAACTAGGGTGAAAGGACATAACCTTGTGCTGTACACCTTTCCTGATTTAAAACCATTCAGAATCCTCTTGTTCTGTTCTAAGAGCTGCCTCTTGGTTTATGTACAGATTTTCTCATGAGCACAAAGTGTTCTGGTATTCCCTTTCTTTGCAATGTTATCCATAGTTTGTTATGATCCTCATAGTCAAATGCTTTTGCATAGTCAATAAAGCACACACACACACACACAGACCTCTTTCTGGTATTCTCTACTTTCAACTAAGATCAACCAGTGTCAGCAATGATATCCCTAGTTGCACAACCTCTTCTGAATCCAGCTTAAATTTCTGGCAGTACCCTGTTGATGTGCTATTGCAAGCATTTTTAATTATCTTCAGCAAAACTTTACTTGCATATGGTATTAATGATATTGTTCGATGATTTCTGTATCCCTTTGGGTCACCTTTCTTTGAAATGGGCAGAGATATAGAACTTCCAGTTGGTTGGCCAGGTAGCTGTTTTCCAAATTCCTGTATTTTTGTATTGGCATAGATTAGTAAGCATCTCCAGCACTGTGTTGAAACATTTTAATGTGTACCCCATCAATTCCTGGAGAAATTTTTTTTTTCAATGCCTTCAGTGCAGCTTTGACTTCTTTCTTCATTCAGTACCATCTTTTTTTTTTTAACTATTGCTACCTCTGGTTGGCCCAGGATCCGGCAGTGTTTCATTCTGCTGTGCATAGGGTCGCATCAACCAATTCTTTTTGGTACAATAACTGTGTATTCTTTCAATCATCTTTTGATTTTTCATGCATAATTCAATGTTTTACACTTAGAATCCTTCAGTATTACAAGTTGAGGTTTGATTTTTTTTTTTTTTTTCTTCAGTTCTTTCAGCTGAGCATGCTCTTAGCTTTTGTCTTTCTAACACCGGGTCTTTGCACATTTCATTATAATACTTTGTCTTCTGAAGCTGCCCTTAGAAAATTTCTGTTCATCTCTTTTACTTCATCTTTTCATTTGATTGCCTTCGCTTCTCTACATTCAATAGCAAGTTTCAGAGTCTCTTCTTTTGTTCTTTTCTGTCTTTTTAGTGATCTTTTGTTTTTGTCATGTATGATGTTCTTGATGCCATCCCACAGTTCTTCTGATCTTTGGTCATTAGTATCTAATGTCTAATGCATTAAATCTGTCTTTGAAATGATCTCTAAATTCAGGTGCAGTATACTCAAGGTTGTATTTTGGCTTCTATGTACTTGTTTTAATTTGCTTCAGCTTCAACTTGAGCTTGCATATGAGCAATTGATGATCTATTCCACAATCAGTCCCTGGCCTTGTTTTGGCTTCTCCATTATCTGTTCCCATTCCTTCTTAGTCTGGAAGTTCTGCTCAAACCTGTCCACCATGGATGATCCTGATGGCATTTAAAATACCAGTGGCATAGCTTTCTGCATCATAGCAACACACAGACACCACACTATGACAAACTGACAGATGAGTGGTGGTAGAGGACATACTGTTAAGTAAGTCAATCACAAAAGGACAAATACTGTAGGAGACCACTAGTAACCATTATAAAAGCATAACAAGGAGAGGTTTACACACAGAAAACGAAAGTCCTTTGATGGTTACTAGGGATAGGAAGATGAGGCACCATTGTTTTCTGGTGCCTCATGCTACATTTTTCTGGTATCCGAGTAGATAAGGCCACGTTTCTGTGTAAACTACTAGTCTTGTAGATTATTTTCTTCTCTGAATCTAGGGTACACTTTGTGAACAATACTGGGCCAACTAACTGAGCTGTCCTGCAAAAAATGTCATCAACCATTCCGGCCTCATCCATCTGCTCAGCTGGCTCAATAATTTGTTGTAATGGCTGCACAGAACTCAGACATCATACCCACAGTTATGGGGTTGATTAGGGAAGTTAAGGAGTCTTGGTATGGTGCTGGAGGATAAGTACTTGACTGCTAACCACAACGTTGGTGGTTCAAACCCTTTGGAAACCTTATACAGGGTCACTATGAGTTGGATTCAACTCCATAGCACTTAACAACAACAATAAAGGGAAGTTAAAAAATTGCAATTCAGGCTCAGAAAAGTTGAAGGCACAATTCTTCTGGTCAGGACAGTCTCTCCTCTGCCGTGGCCACAGGCAGGCCTCTCGCTGGCCCTTAGTCCCTTTCTACCCACAGTCTTTGTAACTCCCACCAAGCATGTGAACGCTGGACAATGAATAAGACTGAAGAAGAACTGATGCATTTGAATTATGATGTTGGCCAAGAATATTAAAGTACCTTAGACAGCCAGAAGAATGAACAAAACTTTCATGGGAGAAGTACGATCAGAATATTCTTCACAAGTGAGGATGACGAGCCTTTCATCTCACTTACTCTGGGCATATTGTCAGGAGGGTCAGAGAAACAGAGGTGGATTTACAACACTTCAAACTGCCCTTGTGTTATTTGAATATTCACTCTTTCCTCAAAGAAAGGGTGGCTCTTCCCAAATTACTTTTTTAAACACTTTGGTAAACAGTTTTTCAGGAATCATAATAAAATTGTAAATGACATTCTTAAAATCTTCTAAGATAAAGATGCATATTTTGTGTTGTTTGGAAAATAATTCCTTTTTAAAAAACTTATTCTGCTCATGCCATCTTTTAGTTAGCACTCAAGCAATGAATTGTTATCAAGCAAACATTGCTTGTAGAAAAAAAATATCCAAACAGTCAGTACTTTGGGAAGATACAAGTCAGCGACTTGCTTGTGGCTATGGAATGACTACTTTAGCATCTGTTCCCAAAAGACACCTGTTTTATGTCATTGCCAAGCCCTTTAAAGGAAACTTTCAAGATTTGTGCGGATCTTTAGAGTTTTTTGATGGGAGAGAAATTTAATATGGCAGACTTGGAGGTACAAAAGAGCCTTGGTGGCACTCCGTGGTTAAAGCGCTCAGCTGCTAACCAAGAAATTGGTGGTTTGAGCCCACCAGCCACTTCTTGGGAGAACAATGTTTGCAGCCTTGGATGTGAGTCAGAATGAACTTGATGGCAATGAGCTAGCTTTAGAGGTCCAAAGTGCTGGGACTGTCTGTGATGTCAGAGAGCAGAAAGTTGTTTTCTTATGATTTAATTAAAAGCAACAAAATAAAGCAACCTACCTTCTTGAGCATTTTCACGATAAATCAAAATAAGTAGGAACAGAACAGGTTAAGTTGAAAAACAAAATATTTAGTTAGTCCCTTATTGTACACATGTATATTAAACCAAAGCATTGTGTATTTCATATGTTTACAAAATTAAAACAACTTACTGAGTTTTTTACCTGCTATTATTTCATTTCAGGGGGGAGACTAATGGACTACCTTTGACATGTGAGGATTCCTATAATCGCTAATAATCCTAGAATGGTGGTGGTGGTTATGTGCCGTAGAGTCAGTCCTAAACTCATAGCAACCCTGTACAGGGTTTCTGAGGCTGTAAATCTTTATAGGAGCAGATAGCCTCATCTTTATCCCGTGGAGCAGCTGGTAGTTTCGAACTACTGCCCTTTTGGTTAGCAGACTGATTCATAGCTATTATGCTACCAGAGACTGTGCTATTTTCTTTCATTAAATGCCCAATCATTTCCTTTTTTCTTGTTCATACAGGTATTGTGGCAGGAGTTAGAAAAGATGCATCCACATCTCCTATGCCTACTGGAAGCCAAAAAGAGCTTATATCTGGGACCACAGCATCATTCCAGCGTGACACCTCCCGGTAAGATTAAAGAACTGGCTTAACATTCTCCAAATAAGAACTTTTTTTTTTTTTTTTGAGGTTTGTTTAATAAGGAACAGAAAAAACACACAAATCTAAATTCTTAGTCCCTTATTTTGACCAGACTGAGTTACATCCCTTTTCTCTGTACAGGGGCTTTCTTAATTGAAAATGGCAACTGACAAAGATTTTCATAGAAACTCAAACCTAATCTTGTCCTTCATCAGAAAATCTTAGCAGCCGGTCCTTCCTAACTTTTCATGAAATGGTTATACATTTGGAATATAAGTTTAACTGACACAACTACTTGACACTGAAAATTAAAGTTGCTTTTGCACTACAGTTAAGAGACTGTCAGCATTTAGATAAAGTAGAGCCATCTGAGGGGTTAAACTATAGATACTTAAGACATCATTTGTATTTAATTAAGAGTCTAATTGACTTCACAAACTGAAAATATCTAAATTGTTTATCTCAAGCTTGATGATTATCAGGATGTGTTCTAAAATGTATTCTCTTGATTTGGGGAGACTTCAAAAGACAAGAAGACATTATTTCTTCATCCTCTGAAGAGTTGTTCTCCACCGCAGAGTGCCTATAGGAACACTGTGTCACAGAAGCCAGCCCCAGGCATGCCTAACACCACCAGTGCTT